CACAATTACACAGCTTCATAAACCATGAAATGATTTTACGGGCCGTGTGAGGAGAGAAGTCAACTTTAAAAAAAAGAAGGGACACTAGCGGAGGGGTCTGTTTCAGAAGGGCCCGGAGCGTCGGCGTGTTTCAAGTCGGGGTTCAGATGTCGGCGGGTGTGAAGGGACGGAAAATTCCCCGAGACAGCTCGAGGCTCACGCCTGACATTTTCACGCCGTCTAATAATCTGTTAATAGGACGGATTTAGCCGCACTTCAGATGAACCGGTCACGGTAACCGAATCTGGGGATTTCCTATTTTTCTGCGTGTCCTTTAAAAACTCCTTTTCTTTAAGGACTGAAAGTCAATGGTGAAGCACTTTGAGGTTAAACTTGTGATGTGGTTTTTGGGCAACACAAATTAAACATGACTCGTCAGTTTATTATCCAACACCAGTGTTGTAGCTTTTGGTCAACACTTGCGACACCTACATTTGCATTGTTGTTAAATGTGTTACACGGTATTCTATTCAGAGTAATAATTAAAATAAAGAAGTTAAGTGAAACACCAAGTTCTCAATATATTTTCTCACCAAAGTCAACAACATTTCTCTTTGCTTCATTGGCAATTGGCAGTTGTTCTGATGATACTGGCTGACCCCTCTTAGCATCGCACTGGTTCCCTCCACACAAAGGTATTGCCCCCTCAGATTATAGCAGAAACGTCTCCACCGCTAAACTAAAGGAGGATAGTGTTCCAGTGAGGACGTTTAGTCGACTTATTTACACTCTTTTTAAGATTCACCACAGGGGCGTTCACTGACCGGTTTTATATCAGACAACTAAACGTTACAATCTCTTCAGCTCGTGTTAAACACAGAACTGATTTCAGACATCTAACCGAAGAATCATTGAAAAAACATCTAGACGAGGGAACATTTCTGTGTTTTAAGACTCATTCCTGCAGCACTTTTTAAATGCATGTTGTCTAGAACAGCTGTTATGTCATTCAACCTCCTACGTGAAGGATTTTATATTTCAGACTTTGGTGACTTCTAGTTTGACAAAAGAAATTTACAGCTATAAAAAGGACATGAACATAAAGCAACACAAAGAGTTTCCTCCGTCTCAATTTTTCTGTGTACAAAAAACCTGCATCAACAGACTATAGTCACATAATCCCATAAAAGGACTTCAACAAAGGCCTGAAACGCCTTTCCAAAGCAAGGTCACATCGTGTCTCCTGGCTGACGCTGAGACAATAACACTTTCTTGGTAACGCACCATGAAAAAAGGCCCTCGCGTGTAAAGGCTCGACATACTTCGTCTCCTCAGTTTCAGATTTCCTCCCACTATTGAGAAGTGACTCATCTTTCTGTAGAATCTCCTCACTCACACCCGGAGACACCGGATATCTCTGGAGACAACAATACCTTCAGACAAACTGGTAGACGGTGCCAGCGTTAAGCGATCCGGCTACGAAACGTCTCATCTGATCAAAAGCATCGCTGGCGATGGTGGAAGGTGTCGGGTCGCGGACGGACACACGATGCCGTTTGTCTGTCACCGATTAGAGTTCAGCCCGAGTTCATCTCGAGTTCATCTCGACACAGAGATGATGAAAAGAAGACGGAGGAAAAAGTGATTACACAACCGTGTGGGTGAGACAAAGAAACTCCCCCGAAGGGATCTTTAAAAAAACACTTTGCCCAAAAAAAAAAAGAACAAAAAGTTGATAGAAACAGGTGAACGAGATTAAAAAGCACCAAGATGAAAAATCTCATTTAACCAAAAAGTTAAATAAAGTTAGACTTTTGTCATTCCCTCTCTCTCAACTGTCATCGCTCTAATAAAAAAAAATACCTTAAAACCTGTATCACACCAGTCTTTTTTCCACACACACACACACACACACACACACACACACACACACACACACACACACACACACACACACAGGTCAACAAAAAGATAGTGAACATGAGTTCATGAGACTTTTAAACATCAATAAAAAGAAACAAACGCGTGTTTTTTCCCCTCATGTGAAGTCTTTACTGTAGAGCGAACGCACACAACAATATGCAGATGTAACTTTAAATCGCAGCACAATCATTAGACACCGTGTCTGATCCCAACACAAAAATCATAAAAGCATAAATACAAAATATAGATCTCTTCTCTGATCGGGGTCCATTTCACTCGCGTGGAAAATATAATATTGCAGAGAATGTATTTACAACCCCGGCTCAGCTGAAGAATATTTAACACAATCTCATAAATTAAATCCATCAACCAAAAAAACTTAAGAAAACCCAAAATCAATAGCAACTTAAAAACTAATCGAACCATCTGATTCCTAAAACTAACATCTGAAACTAAACTATTTTTTGGACTTATGAATTGTTCAGAAGGCGACATCATTGTGCGACATTGATGCGAGCAGTTTGACCACAGGACGTGTGTTACCTGGCTGTTGGATGCTTCTTTATGGACAAAGACACAGTTTAGGATGCTAGCTTTGAGATGTGTTAGTTATCAGGAAGCACTCGAGTGTTGTGAACGCAGAGTGAGAGTTTAAGGGTCGTACGTTTTTGCATTTTGTTCAACTCAGTAAACACTGATTCAGTGTTCTGCAGGAGAAAAAACACTTCCAGCTTAGAGTTAGTTAAAAAGTGATGTTTTCTTCGGCGTCTATAAATGTTTCAGCAGCATTTAAATCACTTTATTTCTATGAGAAGCCGGTTCTTACTTCACATTAGAATAGAGTCATTTAAAAGAATAAGCATTAGTATATAAATGACTCGCCGTGTGTCACTTTGAATTATTGAAGTAAAATTAGATTTTAAACCTCCACGGTGACCAAAGACTCAAAAAACAAACGGAGGAATTGAATAGAAGTAAACGTTTGAAACTACATCAACACATCTGTTTGCAAACTCTCACATAACTCATGCATTTTAACTTAAGCAACAAAATACATTTAGATGCACACGGTCATGCCGAGTCAAACCCATCAAACAATCATCTTTGTAAACGGATGTTTTGATGTAGTTTTACTGACTTTTCTCTGTTTTTGTGATTCTCTGTTTACCGTGGAGGCATGCGGGAAGAGGCGAGTAATTAATATAGAAATGGTCATTTTGTGGGAGAAGTATTCTTTAAACAACAGTTGAAACGGCAGTTATTTGGATCCTAGTCGTCTGACAGTTTGAACCTAAATGTCGTCGGACCTGCGTCTCAACAAACCAATGTTTACTGGAATATTTCCTACGTTTGATTTTACAGTTTCATCACTGCGGGCGGCTTGTGAGCCACAATGATTAACATAACTACATCCCTCATTTCCCCTTGAACTTCTCCGTCAGCATCCAAGCGGTGCGTCCTCCCAGTTCGGTCCAGCTGGGATGCCAAATGGTACAAGGAGTGAGGATGCGTGTCCAGCTTTTGTTTCCATCCCGTTCACTCCTGATGGGACTTCCTCATTGCTCTTACCATCACAGCTCCGCTCTGAGGCTGCTGCCATTTTGTGTCCCCGGTGGTTAACGTTTGATGCACTTAAGGATTCAGAATGGTTCCGTACGAGACGGGGATTAAAAACCCGGAGAAGACCGCTGCTACAATCAGTCCTCGTAATCGACATCACTGCCATAATCTGCAGGGAGAAAGACACAGAGGGATTAGATACACGTGTTTCACTATTATATATAATGTTTGTGGATTAATATCACCACTGCATTAATGTGTGTGTTCTGAAAAGTAAAGCCTATTCTGAAGAGTCTTTAAGCTGCATTCTCTCTAATGACCTCCAGGGGGCGACTCCTCTGGTTGTATAGAAGTCTATGAGAAAATGACTCTACTTCTCTCTTGATTTATTACCTCAGTAAACATTGTAAACATGAGTTTATGGTCTCAATCTCTAGTTTCAAGTCTTCTTCAATACAGCATGATGTTCATTTAGTATATTATGATCCATTTAGACAATTTCTTGTCTTGTTTTTCAGAGCCTTTAATTACTTTTCTCTACTGCACTTTATTTCCTTAAATAAATGCAGCACTATTACTGTTGTACTCTATATTTTCTGTGATATATTTTAAAGCCTTATATGAAACACTTTGGGTTGTTTATGAAGTAAACATGTCAACATGTCTGGCCAAACATTATTTAAAAAACGGGTTCATATTCCTCAGAGTGAGGTAAGATATTGAATACAGTAAACTTTTGGTCTCGGCACCAAAACACCTTTATTTACACCGTCTGAGAAAAGTGAGCGGGAGACCGAAAGTTTGATTTTAATGGCCGATTCCCCCGCGTCACTGAGAGTGGAAGCGCATGTAAAAGAAACGAGGTGTCGCAGGAAGAAAAATAAAAACACGCTCGGGTTTCTAAAAACACAGCGTCCACAGAGACGCTCTGCTTTGTGTGAATTCAGACTGGTAACATGTAAAACAGCGAGTCTGGTTTTAGTCTCCGTCCGGCTCCACCGTCCTCCAGAGGGGCAGCTCTGAGGAGGGCCGTGACCTCTGACCTCACTGTGGAGCGGGCAGGAGCACAAACAAAGAGTTCCCCTACAGGAATCAATTAAGTGCTTTTTACTGCGGCAGAGTCGGGGACCTTCAATCTTAACAGGCAGAGACGTAAAAGTGAAGAAATTGAATCTTTTTCGAGGGCTCATTAAAACACTGCAGGAGTCTGAGCCATGACCCGCGGACGCTGATTCATTAAAAATAATAAAAAAAGTCACTCAAACTATTTCTCAGTGCAGACACTCGGCGTCCGACTGAGAAGTGAGAAAACCGTCTGAGATTTGAATGTGCTGCAGGAAGCTCACTGCCAGAGAATCAAAGTCAAGAGTTCACATTTCTTCATTTTGTTCAGCATGTCTTCCTGATTCTGTCTCGTTACAATAAACAACTGATAATCTGCCAATCATCAGAAACAATAATTAAAAATAATTTTATTAGCTGTAACGACTGCTAATTTACCACCAGCTAGTGAAATATTTAGGTTTCTGCTCCTCCGTCTATAGACAGTCTTAAGTTCCACCTTTACTCAAATCTTTACTTATTTTAAAATACTTTGAAGTGAAAATGTGACGGGAGTGAAAAAACGACCCGGAACTGCTTTGGGGTTTCAGAGGGTTAAACCGTTGAACGGCATGCTGGGTAGAGCTCGTTCTCCATCGATGTTTCTGTGACCCTTCACACCCAAATGACCAGATGTTCTAAACGGCCTCGACAGTGGTGTCCCATAGACTGTACCATATTAACGCCTCATCAGTCTGTGCTTGTGTTGGTTTCTATTGTTCTGTTTGGGAACACTATTGTTTGTGTAATAACTTACAGACCAACATTAATCTCAATATATGAGAATAAACAAGTGATGGATAGACGTCTGTAGACATCCTGACAAAAACAGAACCCTGTGTGTGTTTCGACCGACCGTTGCTGCCCATCAGGTCCATGGCACTGACACAAGCCTCCTCTTCCTCGTCGTCGTCCTCTTCGCCGGCCGCGTCGTCGTAGACCACCGGCCCGCTCTCCACCAACACTCCGCTGGCGGGGGCTCCCACGGGCACCGGCAGGGGGCTGAAGGTGGCAATCTGGACAAACAGGAAATATTGTTGACGACTTTTTAATATTTTCCTCTGCGTGACACCAGAGTTCCCCCCCCCCCGGGAAATCTAACCCAGATCTGATCTCATATAGCCCACTTCCTGTAAAATGATAAAAATAATAAACAGTATGGTGGGGAGGGGGTGAGCTCCAGGGCAGGTGGAGGTATTTCATCTGCTGCAGCATCCCCCACATATGGCTAAACACAGCATCAGAGCGTGACCACGACCTTTGTTATCTCACACTACATTATCATCTCATGTAGGATTCTACTGTTTAAAATGTGCACCGTCCACAGTGCACTTTGTTCAGCACAAGAGGGTCGGAAATAAAGCAGCGCTTAGGGGGAAGATACCCTTCAGAGTAAGAGAGAATTAAAAAAGAAGGGGCGAGTGTGAAGGAAAAATGTAATTAGAAAGCCCTTTTTGCCCCCCTCCCCCCAGTGCGCAACCAGGAGAGACTTTCCAGTTGCATGCTGGGAGACAGAAATAGAGCCGTTTTTTTTAAAATCAGAAAACAAGCTGCCCGACACGGGGAGGAAATGTTGGCACCAGTAAGAGAAAATAAACAACGGGTAGAATGAAGGTTTTTTTTCCAGCAGTGGAAACGATGACAAGTGTCTGAAGGTTCCATTCCCACAAAGAGGACGGTAGTTCCATCAAATGAACAAGAAAAACTGAACCAAACAAAGTAAAATACGATGCCTACAATCCTACCATCTCTGAATGAGATCGGGTCATAGAAATAGAATAAGAGTAGAACTGACATTCAACCGTTTTTCGTGGTCATTTGACGAGAACAAGAGAATGTCTGAGGACACAGCAAATGTTCGGCTCATTTTCTGTTACCGATGTAGCGATAGCATGGTGGAATTAGCAAGCAAGCTAACTAGCCATCTGTCCAACAGTTAGCTAGCTGGCTTGCTAATTTCACGATACTTAAACGCTACACTGGTTACAGAAAATGAGTCAAAACAAAGTTGTCACCCATCTGGTGACAGCAACGTGCTTCCCTACGCTGTAGCAAGAGTTAGCATTTATAACTTTACTTATGAACTCCGGCTCTCAGACGGTCACAATGGATACATTACACATAAAAATGGCCGCTCTGTCCATTCTGCTCTATTGATTTCTATGGGAATGTCCCCTCTTCTTTTGGGTCTGGAGAGAATACAATAGCAGACACCTGCCAGCCAATCAGAATGACTGTAGGTGGCCCACAGTATAAGACGCCATGTAACATATCAATGCGGCTCCGCTGCAGTAACACCAAATCAACTTATGACGACCGATTCAATACGTTCGGTTTATAAAACTCGTCCGCTGTCGGACAGAGAAAATTTCCCCCCGGAAAAAACACTCATCTGCTCCGATGCGGTTCTGAAAGAGCGACTTCCATCTGAGCCGTGTTTATTTTGCCGAGTGATGAACTGTACAGATATCAAAAGACAAACAACCCGTGACACCAGAGAGGGACAGGCGTGCACGGTGTGGAGGATTTCATTTCTACCTTCCTTCAGGCGAGAGAAACTAATAAAATATCTAAAACCAGACTTTCTGCGCATCGTTCGGCTTCAGGAATGAAACAAATCGACTTATTTTTTTGCCTAGAAAAACCCGTCAAGTCTTTTTTCCGCAGCGACTAAAAAGGAAACCTGCATGTTATCGCTTTCCTTTCAGCCAGGGCTAATTATGAAGCCGGAGGAGAAGCAGGTGGAGGGTCCACAGTGTGACGAGAGATATTTCTGTTCTCCTCAGCAACAGCCTGTTGGAGTCCCTGCTGAGGCCCTTCCTTTCTGCCATCTCTTCATCCAATTTGCCTCCTTCCTTTCCTCCCACCTTTCTTTTATTTTATGTTTCCTCTCTTTTATTCCACCCACATCCTCTCCTTCCTTTGCACATCGATTCTCTTTTTTTTGGCTCGTTCTTCCCACTTTTCTGCCCTTCTTCTGCTTTTTATGTACTTAGATTTGATCTTTTTTTGGCCCACGATCAAACAACACAAAATCAAAAAGCATAAAATATACCACCACAAAAACCCAGTGCTGTCCTTTGTGACTTTAACCTCACCAGGCTCCTCATCACAGCCGCTGGACGCCTCATTAGCTGCCGTTGAACACAGGCAGCAATGTGAAGATATACGTCGAAAAGGATAATTAAAAAGAAAAGATAAAAACGGTGCTCCGGACTAATTAGGAGGGGAGAGCTGTTAGATGGAGCGGAGACGAAGCGAGATGTTTTTGTTGCTGTTAGACATCAACGTCTATCTTCATACAGAGATCATGTTCCACTACAAACATCGTGTCGCATGTTGGAAGAGACTCAAACTCTGGAGTATTTACTGTTTGCTCACCGAGTCTCAGCGCTTTAATGAGAAAACAGCTCGTTAGGAGCGAGAAGGCAACTCGAAGCAACTTCGGGAAGCAACTGCTCAGAGGGTTTTATGGGATGTTGACATCCGATCGCCTGCAGTTTACTCATGCACGGAGCGACTGGCAGAACTAAATTAACTGTGAGCAAACCGCAGTCTGGATTAATGCTCTCGTTCAAACATTTCTCAGAGTGTTTAAACGGCACGACAACCAGAAAGTATGAACTACAGAAAGATCTAAATCACGTCCCCGTTTTATTTTTTTCCAGGATATAAATCACAAGCAGCACGTTTTGTTCCGGACATGATTTGCATCATTAATGGAGTCAAAGGATTAATCAGCTTTAAACAAGTTTCCACGATGCAGAACAGACTCGATTTGCTGCATAAATCCACAATGCAAATGTTTCTATCAAATAGCAATTATTAAGTTTAATTTGGGACTATTTATTCATATCTAGTCATTATGTCATTTCACGTTAAAAAAATCATCGTTTAATCTGTATTATTAGTATCTCTGCCAGGGGATAATGAGATCGGTTGTGTGTGTGTGTGTGTGTGTGCATCTCTGAGTCTGTCCACGGCTAAACTTGCTGCACCAAACTGCAAAATATTTAGCGTTCTGATTTACACTATGGTTGAATGTTGTTTTGAATTCTTCATTTCTCATTCCCTTGTTTTTGTTATTTACTTGTATTCTCTGCATATATTGGGTTATATATTGTAGGATTATGTATACAACTAACATTTCTTTCTGTTTAGATTTAAGAGCAACTGTAACGTACCATTTCCCCCCCCGATTCTGATAATCAGTACGTTCAGCATACTGTCCACTAAATTAAAAGATCAGACCGTTCTCACTGAAGTATGCTCGAGCGATGGCCGCCAGCGTCTCCGTCAAACCTCCGAATACTTTGCAGCAAATTTCCAAACAAGCGTTATTTGGATAAACTGAACACAGATTGAGAATGTAAATGGTTACTTTCTCCCTTGAAAACATATTAGAACTTAATAAAGTGACATATTTACTTTTTAAACAGTTTGCTCAGCAGACTTGAAGCCTAAATAAAAGCTCCAAGTCACTGAAACGGTCATGAGACGCAGCTGAAACATGCGTCTGCATAGATTCATTCAATCAAACATTACAGCAGTGGTCATTGCAGACGCACCTGGCGGAGATCTGCACCTTCGCAGTCGTATTTGAGCTTATTTACTAGGTTATTTAATGTTTATTTTTATCACGTCTTAATGCCTTTATGTCTAATGTAAAGCACTTTGCCTCGTTGTTGAAACGTTTATTCTTAAAAAGTACCATCTTATGCAACTGGCAAGGCCTTAAAGTCTCTGATAACATCAGTATCTCCAATTCTGCTCGTTTGTCCCGTTACTGACGTGTTTCTAACTTTGTGCATTTACATTTGTTTTACGACAGGAAGCGGTGAACGATCAGAGCTCGTCCGTCCCTCTGCATCTCGGCTCTATCGGCGGGGAACGTGGAGGTCAGTGCGTTCCTACAGCTGAAAACACTACGCGTCATGTGGTTTACCGCCGGCATGGCTGACAGCTCCTCTGAGGACCCAACTTCAAATAGACTCAGCCATCAATTGACTGAGACTATTGCTTGCATAAGCAGACTATAGCTGCAAACGCCAGAGCGACCGTCTGCAGTTCAAAGCCCGCTCTCCCCTGACCTCGTCACCCCTTTCACATTTCTAAGCCTCTCTGAAAATCCCCAACGTCTCTCACTGTGCCGACTGCTGCCTCCACCGGAGCTTCAGTCTGAACGTGGTTCAAAGGAGCAGAAGAAGAAGAAGAAGAGAGACGAGGGCAGCGGAGAACAGCTGGGCCGCTTTCAATTGGCAGAAATCAACTTGTTTTTCTAACTTGTAAAGTGATCGTTTCCTCCCTCGGCCTGTTAGAGAAATGTACAGACTAATTACCGAGTCGCTGAAGAGGAAGAAACGAGAATCAGTTCGTTGTTAAGCGCTGCAAAACAGAGCGACTCTGGCAAACCTCTCTTTTCAATGTGGCCCCCGTCGCCGCAACATTACATAACAGGAGCCGCGAGCGAGGAGCAGCCTCAGCCAATAGCAACGGCCGTTTGCTTCCAGTTCCCAGGAGGAGGTTTAGGGGGGTTGCTAAGTAACAAGCCTTGTTGACCCGGCCCCTCGTGGTAGTGTTTTCTTCCTGGTTGACGGAGCCTGAGCTCCCCGAGCTCCTCCATTCAGAGCTGCCAACAGCAGCGTGATGGAGGGGGGGGGGAGAAGGAGGGGAGAGAGGAAGGAATGTGGGGAAGGAGAGAGGAAATATAAAAAGGTGGAGGAGAGCAGTGGAGCGGGAAGAGAGGAGGAGGACGCGAGGGAATGAAGCATGAAGTGAAATGATGAGGAAAGAAGGAAAAGAGAGGGAGACTTCGTTCATCTCCGTATTTATGCGCACTTTAAAGTATCGCATTTAGAAATCTGAATGATAACGGCAACATTTGGATAAAACTTCCTCATGGGAGTAAATAAATGAATGGGAGCTATGGAGGTCACTGCTACATTATCAAACACTCCCATCACACAGACGCGCTTTCTCAGGCTTCTGATTGGTCAGAATCTTCATCTTCTTCTGTGCGTGATTAGCCTTCAATCGTTCCCGACTGTGAATGGATTTAATCAGACGGACGTTTTATTGGGTTTCTACAACTAAATATTTAGCTTCAGCTCTGCATGATAAAGCAGACTTTTAAGCTCTGTGATTGGATGTTTCTTACTGAAATGCACCTTGGGAGTTGTAGTTGACGTCTGTCCTTCAGTTTTAATGTCCACATACCTAGTTTTCTAACTAGGTATCTTTTGTTGAGACTTATATGTCCGTCCTTCCCAAACACAGAACTCCTAGAAATAACTTCTGCCATTTTACTTCTTTATGTGGCGATGAAGAGGAACGCGACAGGAATGATGAAACGGGAAAATCTTTTCATTAGAAATAAGAATGAAGCAGAAAGGGGAGACATGACAGTTAGAATGTGTAAAGTGAGATATGGGGGAATAAAGAAAAGAGCAGCACAGAGTGAATATAAAGTCCAGGAAGACACTTTTGAAGATGATGTAAAGCTACCTGTGTTTGAATTTGGGTCCAATTTAAAATCAAATTAAGAAACAAAGCTGGAAAGAAACTGGCCTGTATCTCCCTGAAAGCTGTGAAGCTATAAATGGAGAATGAGGACTTCCTGTTCAAAGACGCGAAGTCTGACTGGCTTTAGTAAAGCAGATAGGACACACATTCTGGATTCATCTAGAAGCTGACGGTGGGCCAACAGAAGCCATCGCTGCAGGGTGGTAAAAAAAAAAAAGACCTCTAAAAGTGCTGTTTAAGTCATTTTTATGTCTAAGTTTAAGGCCGTATTTATTTTAAGAACCTGTCAGAGTTTTTTAGGAGCAGTGAACGCCCCGGAGGGAGGAAGGGAGAGGAGGAGTAATAATGGAAGGGCAAACAAAGACAAAGTGAGGTTCACCTCTCACACGGCCTGAGTGGAGATTTATTCTTCCCCGTCTGCTCTGCAGGAGATCTGAGCAATCAGCAATTAGGTTTTAATGGCCGACGTGGAGAGACTGACAGGGCATTACAGCCCGACTCCAGGTCTGTTACAGCCACAGCTTTGTTAGCTGGAGACAGGAAGCCTCTGGGTTTAGATGCCTTTTAAAGCAGATAGACGCTCTATATCTTTTTCTTATAGTCGTATATCAACAAGTATTGTGTGTTTTATTCCTCTGCGCCATAGAACTAAATTCAGACTTTCTGCAGTGTTCTTCAATTAAAGACTATGAAAGACATTTTAATACCACAGAGGAGCATATTTAACATCTTTTTAAGGGCTACAGTTATATATCAACTACATTCAATCATTGACATTTATATCACATTTTCTGTCAGTTATTCCCAGCAACATATAAAGGACAAAGATTCCTCGTAATATAATGAATCAGTGAATGCCACCTGAACTAAGAAAAGCAGAACATTGATGGGTGGCTTCACCAATTAAAAAATAGTTTATATTTATTTAAGTTAACTGAAGTTTTGCTAAAATTGACACCCAAAGAGACAGAAATGGAGTCTTTATTATTATTATTTTTAATTTGTTCAGACGGTACATACTTCTGTATCTCCTAATAATACAAGTTATTGCTTGTTGACATAAGAAATTGTTCCTTTTTTCCGAGCTGCTTTATAAAAACTGTTTCTGTCGGGACAGTGAGGCAGAGAAGATAACACGGTGAGTGAATGAGTGAGTGAGTGTTTTAGAGAAGAGGGAAGTTATGTGATGGACTGTGTGACTGAGTATTCAGTGTGTGTGTGTGTGTGTGTGTGTGTGTGTGTGTGTGTGTGTGTTAAGTGTAGAGGGTAAAGCAGAGTGACGGAGACGAAGAGCAGAAGTGGTGAAGACGAGTGGCGGCTCACCTGCTCCACAGCGAGCTTCTTGCTGGGCTGTCCGGTGATGAACGGCTGCAACCTGCAACACAAACCACACAACACGCCGTCAACACACCGACACACAGACGTGTGTTCATTAGGTTGTTGCCTTTATTTCACTCTTTAATCGACATGTAAAGTCACAATCCTAATGCACTACTGTGCACCTCGCTGTTAAAAGATGTTGCACACAAACAGCAGGTTTAGAAACCCCAAAACATGTAAATGCAATCTGCAGGATACGCAAGTGAAAAAACCTGGAAAAAAAACTGAAATGCCACAACACATGTGTTTCTCACTTTTAGCAGCAACTTGTTGCCATCAACACAGGTTGGGCAATCCAAGTAATACCTGGACCAGAACCACCATTCAGATACTTTGATACTCTTCTTGCTAACAGCAGAGAATGCACCATCATGTCGTTGTGAGGTGCATCATGAAGCTTCTTCACACACGTTAAACACAGGAGCACAGTTTGAATGAAGTGATGTTTCTATGCATGCACTTTAAAGCCAAGTATTCAATCAGACCTGCTCACACTAGTGTTGATACTCCAAACTAGACCAGGTCTAGGTAGTTGTAAATCCCTTCATCACTACGTTAAATAACAGCTCGGCTACATGACCGATGGCTGCAGAATGAAGAGCATTATTCACCAGGAAGCAGTTTAGCAATGTGCAGCTTTTGTGAACCTCTCAGAGTGATGATATTCATATTCCTACAGACATTAGAGGACAATACAATCTCCCACTGTGCGAACAGTTCAGATTACGCTTTCTTATTCACACCAGTTTTTTCGTCCTTCATTTCCATTTCCTTGATTTTTTGGAGTTCGCAGCCTGAAGGCAGCCGCGCAGCACGAGGCCGACGACAGTGGAAGAGCACCAGAACTGGAATGCAGAGCGTCGTAATCTTAACGGAATCCTTCGCCTCTATTGAGTCAACAATAAAATCCCGTCATCGTGAAAGTAACGACATGGATTTCTCATGTTATGGAAAGTAGACTGACGATCAGTCCGGTACTGTTGGTGATGACGATACGTCTGCCTGGCTGATATATTGATCGTTTCATCTTAAACAAGGATACACGTTGGATTTATTTGAGGATAACGAGTGTTCTTACAGCTCTCGCTGCGATAGACGATGTGGTTTTGAGTGATTGTTAAAAGAAAACATTCTTTTCAATCCCTCAGACAGTTCAATGGCGGGCACTGGTGACATTATAATAAATATTAATAATCCGTGTAATATTATTAGTCATTAAGTAGAACAATTACTTTTGACTCTTGCCACCTGCTTGAGGAGCACAGCTGTGTGTTATTAGGGCTCCTTGCAGCCAGTATTATGAGATTATATATATATATATATATATATATATATATATATATATATATATATCCATTAGAGGATTTACTGTTGACACAATAAAGGTTGAGGATTTCATTTCGATTACTACGGCTGCTCTTTGAGTCACTCTCGGCTCCAGGCGACCGGCTCGAATAACAAACGAGAGAGAGGCAAAGTGAAATGAGACCAGAACTGTGACTGACAGGCAGACTGTCTGTCTGTGAGCACGATCTCTTCCCTAGACCGTCACAGAGATAATCAGCGATGAACGTACCACCGCCGGTAATTCCTCAGCAGCCGTCCCTCCGTCCGGAATTAGCATCGTTCCAGGAGCCCCCCCCCTTCCCTGCCCACCCGGCCCGGTGCTGAGCCCTCCCTGGAGGCTTACAGTAAATGCACAACTCTCGCTGATAAGAGAGTGAACGCGAGTTAGCTTTTAATTAATCTGCTTTAACCAGGGGGAAAGAGAGGGTAAGGAAAGAGGGGGAGGATGGGTAACATGCCATCTTCACCCCCCCCCCTCCCCCTCCCCCCTCCTTTTCCTCAAAGCTCATTAGAAAATCCCTGCCAGGCTGGCGAAACACTCCCCCCGCTGAGAGAACTATTCAGGGCCCGAGTACATGTGCTGGACTATACTCGCTCCCCTGGGCCCTGACCCTAGTGGAAGGGAGGAGGAGGGGAGGAAGGGAGGGAGGGAGTAGAGGAAGGTAAGCAAACAAGCAGAGAGGTGAGGAGGAGAAGGAAGCACCAAGGAGCCAAGTGAACAAATAATATGGTGGACTGGCACCATGTAAAGAGGGGCGGAGGGTTCAAGGAAGCAGAGGAGGAGGCAAGGAGGTTACAAGGAGGTGATGGGGAAAGGAAGGAGGAGAGAAGGAGGAAGGTTTGGAAGAAGAAAGGATAAGAGGAGGAAATGAGGGAAGGAAGTCATTTTTTAGAGGAACTCCGACATTCAAAAGACCGTTGAGCGATCACATGAGGATCAATAATCAATACGTGTGATTAACTGTCAGGTAAGCTGCTCCGAGCAGGAAGGTGTTTTTAATCACCAACACGTTAAAAAAAAAGAATTAACGACAATTTATCGACAGACAGAAAATATTGAGATTATTTCGATCGTCAAGTTAAAGCAAACGTCAGTGTTTATTATACGACGTTTCGTTCACAAGTTCTTATTGTTTACGACAAAGCGTTGTGCATTGGGGGGTTCGACAGAAGAATCTATTTTTGGTCAATAGCGAGGAGGGGTCAGAGGTCAGAGGTCAATGCTCATTAAGGAGAAAAATGAGGGTTATGAGATTAAAATAAGAGGCGAGCCGTGAAGCTCTACGGATGGCTGAGATATATCGTCCTCATCGTGCTGTAGCATTGTTAGCATGCTAAGGTTAGCATGTAGCTCCGTCAACCAACCGTCTGCAGTTAGTTTGGGTTTCATTCATCACGCAGAGGGTTAGCTATCTGGTTAGAGTGAGTCGACATTAGTCAGTCATTCAAAAGGCTTCTTTAGCTCTTCCATCCATGTTTTCCGGGTTACTGAGGATATTTCATAACGATCTTTCCTTTGACAGATGTCAGTTGGAATGATCCTCGACGTGAAGAACACGCGGAAAACTCATTTTAAAATCATCAGAAACAGCAATCACACACAAACTGGACCAAACTGTGCAAACTGCAATTCAAACCGATCCTCTTATTATAAATATTTTCATTTGTAATTCTCACAGAGTCTCTGGAGTCTCTCACACTGACTTCATAATGAAACCAGTAGCTCACACATACAGACTCTCTATTTCCACATTCGATTCCCCGGTGGTTTCATTTCCTGCATTAGAGCCATTTTCATATCAATAAAGGCGCCGCTCTCCTCTCATAGCTCTTATGACGGTTCAGCTCGTTAGCAACTCACGCTGGTTTCAATCTCACTCGGTGTTTGTTTCGTTCTACTTCCCATCAAAGGGTTTCAAATAGAAACCCTTTTTATTGTCATATACATATACACGAAATTTGACCTCTTCATTTGACCCATCGGGAGCAGTGGGCTGCCAATGACAGGCGCCCGGGACAGGGACACTGAGGGACACTTCGACACGTGACACGTCCCAGTCGAGGATCGAACCGTTGACCCTGCGGTTACCAGACAAGTGACCCAAGTAAGCCAGTGAGCCACAGTCACCCCCCCCCCCGGACTGAGACAAACCAAAGTAAAGAGGGAATCATTTCATTATTCATGCAATAATCCAATCAATAACATGACGAGGAGGAAGAGGAAGAATCTGCAAACTGGGGGTTGAATGAAATTAGTGCTGCGATGAGCTCGGATGGAAATAGATAATAATAATCTGAGCGTCCAACTCGATATTCCAGCTGGGGACTGGATCCTGTGAGGCACGCACGCACGCACGCACGCACGCACGCACGCACGCCTTCATCGCAATTAAATGAGGCATAATCACAATAAACCCACACATGCAAATGTGGTGCCCACTCATAGTTTCCCAGACACGAAAGCACACACACACACAAAATACATGCAAGCATACAGAGTTACACACACAATGCAGACGCGCACACAGTCCCACAAATAAGAGTTGTGTCCATTCAGGCTGCAGTGCATTGTGGGCCTGGTGTGCAGCTTGGCAGCAGGAGACGCAAATTCAGCCAAAAGAACCGATTGTTTTCTCTTCTCCTCTGGCCGGTCCACACAACACTGACCCCATTTAACACACACACACACACACACACACACACACACACACACACACACACACACACACACACACACACTACCTGGTACTGTGGATTCACAAGGGTAGGGATTATATAGATGACCATGTGTGCGCACACGCACACACACACACACACACACACACACTCTTGTGCACTTACATATATTCTGAATCACTCTTCTACTTCTACTATACTTGTGAGGACTTTCTATGGACGACCTTGTCGCACTGCATAACTCGATCCTCATCGTCTGACGTAGAGGAAGCACCAACAACCCAGCGGTTACTGGAGGACCATTTCCACCACCTCTCCATCACTGGTGTATTTAAAAAGGACATAACCAGCGTGTAACTTTCTGCTTGACCTGGAAATTAATTTTATGCAAAGTCAAAGCAGAGAGGGAAAATAATAAACAAGGGAAACCGTTAATGACAGAGATGATAAAGAAAAGTAAAAGCTGGTGTGAGAGTGAAGGTTAGTCTTCTAGGTTTGTACCACAAAGACCAAACTAAGCCGGATCTCACCGATCCTATCTGGAAAGCTGCTGCGCAGTACTGAGCGGAAGAAGAAAGGGACGAGACCTTTACACTTTTAAACATTATGTTGGGAGTTCTGAAAGAAAATCGAAGGTAAAAAATACAACTTTTCTGTTGGTAAAATATTGAAATGTAAAGCTTGCTTTCCAATTACAAAGGAGGAAGGAGTAGAAATTAAAAACGTATAAAAAGTATAAAGATTATCATCATGGATAAGGACCACAAACATGTTTGAGTCCACCACCAACAACTGTCACATGACTGTTTGAGAACAGACTAAACCGCCCAGATACAATATGATAAATATTGAGCTGGATTCTTATAGGAGCCAGGCTAGCTGTTTCCCCCCGCTTCCACTCTTTATGCTAAGCTAAGCTAAGCACCCCGCGAGCTCTAGCTTCATACTTAACACACAGACATGAACTCAGCA